ACACATACGTACGCATATACACACGCACACACATACATACAAACACACGCGCGCACACATAAACACTCACACTCGTGTGCAAATTAAAACGGCAACCAACTCAAAGTCGGCCGACAGTAAATTTCCCCATAGATATTAAGTAGAGTGGTATATAAATTGCGCGTGAAAAAATTTAAAAAAAAATATTTATTAAACGTCAAGTGCTAATGTGTATATAGATATAATTGTAATACCTTTCCTATTACTTTTAAATCGTCAAAATTTGTCCCGCGATAATATATCAAACTGAATTCCACGCCGTGCACGATAATTATTTTTTAAATTAATACTAGTCATTAATTTTTTACGATTATTTTCAACCGTTGTATTATTTCATGCGTTTTAATTGCAATCGAATTTGACTATAAATATATATATATATATGTTGTAAAAATCGTACTGCGAATAATGTATACCCCTCCGAACCCTGTGTATATTATACGTACACAGGGGCATTCTTTAATCATGAATCAGTATACATATAGAAAAATATACAAGTTATATTTTTTCAAACTGGAAATATTTTTAATTTTCAGACAAGAGCAGCAGAAAAGGATATGATACGTTTTTTAATCATAGTTCAGATCACCTTGATACTCCACTTTTAATACGTTTTGATATAAATGTACAATAAGAACAAAACATAAATTACTCACATATTCTTCGAGATTTTTCCTGACTCATGCTAAAAAAATAATAATCTACATGAATTCAATATGCAGGCGTTGTGTGCATTACAGCTTTGTATTATTTTTGTGCACGATACATAATTTTAATATACCTATCCATTTGTAATACTGATAAATACAATTTTTTTTTTTATTGAAATTATATTCGTAAAATAATATTTTTTACAGTTACATAAAAAAATAAGAAAAAGAAGATAATATTAATAATTAAATATATTTCACGTGTTCAATTCGACAACTTATTTAAATTTGCGGTCCTTGATATACATTATAGCAGTATGATTATTTTTAACAGCAAATGTTTAATTTTCTATTGATTCATTTCGTCTCGTATTAATATCAATATGAGTATTTAGTAGATAAGCAATATAATATTTTAGGATTTTTCAAGCTTTCTCCGTTTTCTTAATAATTACAATGAAATATTCAATATTTAAACGTATACGCATATAATTAATACTGACATCGGTTGAATTCATACCCATAAAGATAGATCACTGTCCATGGTATGCTTCAAGTTGTACGCTCATTTATTTTACTCCGACAGGGCTTAGTTAGGTAATCGTGAAAAAGTGTTTTATTTCAATATCGAGTTAGGTAACAGAAAATACTTGCTCGATTTTTAAAATCGAGAAAGTAAAACCGTGGGTTTACATCGCGTGCATTTTTGTGTCATTAAGATACTTGTTTTGAATAAAATATATATTCATCCAATTATAATTTTTTTTTGCCGATTCTTTAATCGCGACCTCGAGAATAAATTATCGAACACTATAAATATTCTTTGAAATCAAGAGAAATCATTGAAAACAACCGATTTACCGAATTATCAATATAGAGTATAAAAAATTATATTTATACGTCTATATCGATCGTCTTACTAGTCAATTTATATAATTTATATGTATAAAATAATAATGTTTATTATTGTTAGTTTGTTATACTAGAACATGTTTTAGAACAATTTATTGTATTATTTATATGTATTAGATGATCAAAAAATAAGAAAATAAATAAAAATACGATGGTTCTCACAGAAAAATGATAAACAATTATAATCGGGGTTATTTTTACCACGTGTAAATATAATTAAAATTATTACACCACTTGATTTTAGTAAATAATTCATATATTATAATTATAATATATAGTATAATCTTATTTCATGATTCAAGATTTTAAGACCTATTATTATGAAATTATTTTAGTTTCTAACGTATATCATGTGTATAAATAATTTAATTTTTAATTTCCAATTGAAATCAGTCAAGTCTACTAAAACATTGACAACAATTATGTTCGAGCATTGCTGGTGAATATATCATGCATATTTTATATACACATATGTAAATATATAAAACATATTTTATATTTTATATACGGGTAATACATTTAATAAATTATTATTTTATAAACCAATACATAGTTTAGACCATTTTTATTTGACAGGATGCCGATTATTTTCCAATGTACAAATTATAGTTAATCAGTATTTTCAATCATCATATCGCAATAATGTAGTTTATTTCAAATTCGAAAGTCGTTTAAGATTAATTAATCGTATCGTATTAATATATTTTAAAGTTTCAATCGATGACACGAACTGATAAACAAGGAAAAAACTTAAATATATCTGAGGTTTATAAATATAAAAAAAGGTATGAGAAATCATTATAGTTTTTTAATACGATTTACAAAATGAATGCGTTGTGTTAGTGCATTATGTATACCTCTATAATATATTTCAAGTCGATTGTTTGCATCGAAACAGACGTAATTTTTTTTTTTACATTGAATTATTATTTTATTATTATTAGTTTATACAATTCTTTATTGAACATCGATGTTTAATACAAATGAATCTACAGAATTATAATGTGACGGCATTTTTTAAAACGCACAATACTACAGATTGTGTGGTAAGACTTATAAAAATCATAATATCTTCATAAAACAAAGTTAACAAATCACTACATTTGTAAGTACACATGACTATTGTTAACAAACCTATAAGCAAAGTTTGTAATAAATTAGAATGATCAACGTTTTACTAACCATAAAACAATACTAAGTATAGTACCGGCTAATGCATATAATTATGTACAAGACGAGTAATTGTATCACATTGTTACCGCACCACACTATTGCGTGTGAAAATATGTAATAATACCTACTACAAATCGTTGTACATTTATATTTATATAAATATTTTTATTTTTATACGTAATTAATATCACAACATTATCGCGACAAAGGACACGCGTATACGCATATATGATATGGGACAAAAAAAAACCAAAATACGTACACATTTATAAATATTAATACAAACGAAAAACAAAAAAAAAATTCGATCGAAAAAACATTATCGTTGTTGATTGCCTAAAAATTACGCATATAAGATATACAATCTTAATCTTATTAAACAATATTAATTATGATGTAGCGTTTTTATTTTTTTCTTAACTTAATTCAATGCCATTAAAAAAGTATTTGAATAATACATTAAATCATGTAAGTTATGTAATTTTCTTGATAACTACCTTACGTCACGTATAAACTTCCCTTGTGCATTGTGTGGAAATTCTGGATCTCTAGAGTGATTATCGCTCAATTAAAATGTGTTTGTGTAAATCTCATTTTTGGTCTAAATATGTGCGTGTGTGTCATCCTCTTAAGATGGACGTCCGAAAAATGTGTTATTAAAATGACCCATTTCTGCATAAAAACACACAATGTCTTGCGAAGAGTATTTTTAAAATCATAACTTATGATTTGTTGTATTTTTATAAAGGATATTATCTAAAATACTGATAAAATAATTCTTTTCCGAATAGTTAAAAAATATTTGTATTTAAATACAATAATTTAAAAACATGCGAGTTGCTGAAACACTAAATTATACCAAAAATTATATAACTATATTAACCTCTTTTAAGTAACTTTCATCTGGAAAATAATATTTATTTATGTTTTATATTTGTATAACATGATTTAAATGGTCAAAATTAAATTCTCTGAAATGTTTTAATTAATTAGTGAATAGAAGAATATATTGAATTTTTATAATGAGATTAGTCATGTTCTTTTAAATCGAACTTTCGAATAATAAATCCGTTAAAAATGTTTGTTTACAGATATTGAAAATATTTACTAAAGATATTGAAAATATTTACTAAAGATATTGAAAATATTTACTAAATTATTAAATAATTAATATACATATTTATAAATTTTATTAGTATGTGATTTATCCCTTAAAACTTGATTCGATTTAGTTCGGCTATAATTAAATCAAATTTGAAATACATTTTTACAATACAAGTACAACATGTTATTAAAATTCATATGCATATGTATTAATGCACTTGGAATATTTGCTACTAGAATACATTAAAAAGCTAACGAGTTTCAAGTGTTAAAATGAAATTGTCCAAATACTCAACTAGAACGCATAGACCGAATATTATGTTTTCAATATTTGATGTTTAAAGTAACTTTATAATAGTTAATTCATTGATAATTAAATAATAGTGTTAATTATTAATGTTACGATCAAAACATTTTTTGAACGTTATGAATATTAATAGTACGGTAAAAAGTAACCGGATTATAAACTGTGAACATTTCTGTGAATAATTTAAGCACCTAGTATGTATCTCGAACGTCTCGCGTAACTGTTCTACACGTTTTCTCAAATTGACTTGTATTTTTTTCTAACGATTCGTTTTAAAAAAAATTATGTTCAAGCATAATTGTGACGAAATCGGTCGGAAACTCCGTGTGTCAAAGGCATGGTACACTGGTAATATAATATTTTTTTACAATACTTATGTAAAACGTAACCATACGTGTCCCATCCGCGTTATCGATACGCGTACCGAATTACAATAACAATACAATAATACCGGATTAGATGTTCTGTACCGACTCAATCGTGTATAATGTAATAGATCGATCGGTATAATATGTTATGGCAAACTAAATCTTTCCCCTCGCCATCACCACCGCCGCTTCGACATTCGTCGTCGTGATCTAGCCGGCGGCCTCGATGTCTCCGCCGCCGCCGCCGCCGACGACGACCACCGCGACGCGCGCCCGCGAGCCGGTGACCGGCATCGCCGCAGCCGAAGCCGCGAGCCGATCCTCCACCACCTCCGCGCGCGCGCCGCGGTCTCGTTATACTCCCACCACCGGCGGCACCACCACTACCGCGTTACTACTTCTACTGCCATCCGACGTCTACTACTACTACTACTACTGCACTACTACCAGAAGCACTGCGCCGCTCCGGGCTGTGTATACTCCCGCCGCTTTTTGCCCGTGGTCAGACGTTTGCCTCCGCCGCCGCCGTGCCGCTAGCTAGAACCGTGTCCGGGCAGTGTATCACCACTTTTCACTAGTAGTAGGCGGTAGTTGTAGCGCGTACACAGTCATTATTATATATCGTATCGTCGTGTGTTTTCTCGACTTCGACTTTTTTTTTTTTTTTCTCAATTTTTTTTTTCTCTTGAATTCTCACGTCGTCGAGTTTTCGAACACCCGGCGCGGCAATCGCGCACACGCGTTAACTTCGCTGAAGTGTTCGTTTTCGCCGACCGCAATATCATACCGTTTTATCGTAAATTTTTCCACCGGGAGTGCAGTTTGCTCGTGACTCGCGCGAACCGACGAAGACACCCCGAAGCGGTTACCGACCCCGACTAAACGTTCCGGACCAATATCAACATCATTCCGCCGCCGGCCGCAGCCGCCGCCGCCGCATGTGGAGGTTACACGTGCGGCGGGATCGGCGGCCGCCGCAGAGCCCACCGGCGGCACGGCGATAGCTCCGTGGCCGTTGACAATTACCTACTCGCCGATCAGTCGATCCGGACCGCAGCCGACCATACTAACGCGATGACCGTCATCACCGGCACCGCCGGCAGCCTCACCACCGGCAGCACTAGCAGCACCAACAGTACCAGCAGCGCCAGCAGCACCAGTATCAGCGCCAGCAAATGGGTGTGGCGACCACGATGGTGGACGAAGAGCCATCAGCATCATCGTGATCATCATCAAAATCATCAACATCGTCGTCGTTGTTGTCGTCAACGCGATGGCGGAACCAACGACCGCGGACAGCTGAAGTGGCGCGTCGCACCATCCACGTTCGCACTGATGGCCGTCGCCCTGCTCGTAATGTTGACGACCACCGTCCAGGTAACGTACACACGTTTTTATATTGGTTTTAAACGCGCGCAATCCTATTTTCGTAAACCGTCGAAACGCGCGTACAGTACGCGGTACACTTTTGACCGTCCGGGTACTTATCTGCTGCAGGACGACGAACACAATCGTACGTCCAATGCGGATTTCAATTGTTTCGTTTCCGGATATATGTGGATTACGATGGAATAATTTTTGTAATCTGACATGGTTCGTCAATTTTTTTTCCGAAGCGCGCGTATTTATTGTGTACGAGATATATTAAACGTATCGTTATTGAACGCTATACGCGAGCCGTATATGTATGCGCCTAATGTACCATATATGTATACTGTGTGTCGAGATACGCGGCCGTTATGTATAATTGTAATACCGATAAAATGTTTTAATATCGCAGATGCGTTTACAACGACGGTAGTGGACAAAAAACTTTGCTCGTGACTGTTTTTTTTTTTTTTGTTTTATTAATATTCTTAATTTTTTTTATTATTATTTATTATTATTTTAATCACGTGTTATAGATATACATGTATACGCAACGTGTATATGTGCGCGCGTCGCCGCGCCGTGTAAATGACGTACGCGATATGTGCGCGGATTATGTGGCACGCATTTACACGCGCGGAGCGTATAGTGTAGAGAAAAAAAAATTTATGCTTTAATTTTTATAGTTCCCGTCGAATTGCAGACGCTACACGCGCGCGATCGCTATGCATCGCGTTATGGGGGCGACGGGGTCTCGGGGGCACCGTGCTCCAGCACTGGTTACTCGCTCGCTGGTCGTTTGACGACGGGTTCCCACGACTGTCGGCGGCGGTGCATATTTAAATTAAACTAGATTAATATTTGTCATAAATATCAATTACCGCAAACTCCGTACGGTCAGACACAATAATAGGTGTAATATGCGCCGGCGTAACATACCATTACGTACACCGAAAACAATAACGATATCAATAAGATATTGTACGCGCACGTACGTATTGATAACCGTATTCTACTTTATTCATAGCGTTTATGATTCGTCGTGTCACGCGCTTACGAGAAGATCCACCGTGGTAGCGGCGGCGCTACACTATAATGACATGCACGGTGTTAATATGGTGTTTGTTTTACCATTCACGTCGTATAGATTGTAGCGGGATAATAACATTATGAATCAAGCGTGGAAGCGTGCTATCCCTTCGGGTATTTTGTTGATGTGCGAGTATTGTGTGTACACAAGTACGTGTATTATGGGTACGTGTGTGCGTGTGAGTGTTGTAAGCGATGTTCGTAGCGCCGTTGGCTGTAGGTGTTTACGCATCGAGGTTAGAACTGCCGTATAATATTACCGAAGGTGGTGTTCATTCATGTTTGTTAAGTGTTTTCGGTAAACAAGAGAAAAAAAAAACAAAATAAAAACTGTACATCTCCGATCATTGATTCTTCACATCCTCCTCGTAATAGTATGACGCGTTATTAATTCGGTTTATTTCATCAAAAACTGTTCTATTTAACACGCGGGTGTATGAAAACCGAGGCAGCAGCTATAAATTGTTGCTCCGTTATTTTTACGAAATACAATAATCGGATATCTTACTCAATAGAAGTAATATCGAAAAAATCGAATAATTTGAAAAAAAAAAAGAAATCTAGGCACTTTTTAGTCAGGGTCAGCTTTTGCAATTATATACTATTTATCTTTTAAATAATTATAAATTACATATTAACAAAAACAATATTTTGTTTGTAGCAAGAGATTTTACACTTACCGTGCAATTAAATGTCGCATATGAGTTTTTATTTTTAAATAATTATTTACACACTCGTATAACTAATATATTTTCATCAAATTCTGAAGTCTCTATGCAATACATCTCTCTCATTTCTGATAAATCCAGCACTGATAAGATATAGTTATTGTTAAATAACGAATCGCTGTAATAACATTTGTATATATATATATATATTGAAATAAATAATATGAACACATAAATCAACGTTTCAATCTCGGATTTAATTGAATAAACTATGTGAGAAACACGTTTATGTACAGTATGCGTATTTATCTTTTTTACGAGTAGTGTTAGTTTGAGTATTATTTAAGGATATTTGACAGCTTGTTTGGGTAACAAACACGATGTAGGGTGCAACGACTCGGTTTGGTTGTAAGAAACCCTTCTAAAGTAGTATACGTTTCTGTTATAGTTACGTAAGTGATTAAGCTTTATTTCTTAACTTTTTTATACTACAACTGTATTATTAAGTTTATAGTTTAGCAATAAATTCACAAATCAATTATTTTATATTAACAAGTTATTTATAATTATAACAAAGTATTTTCTGAGTTAAATGCAATTTAATTATAACCAATATCCTAAATAATCAACCGAAATAATAGATATTCAGATCGTAGTCTTACGGGAAAAAATCATGTACATATTTACTTTTTAAAAATTTTATTTGTTTACATTTTACAATATGAGTAGTCCGAAGTATTTTTAGTTTCGCAATGGTACACGATTTTGTTTGAAATTGGTGTGATACTTGAAGAAGTGATTAAAACCGTATGAATTATAATCAAATAAAACAAAATTAAAATTCTTATAAGTTTTCGATCGAAATGTCAAAAAATCAAAACTCTGGTAGTATTGCGTATTATTTTTAAATAAAAATTTAAATCACTACTATCTTTAAAAAATTACGTATCGTAGTATTAATAATATTGAACGTTCAATGTTGTATAGTGATGATATTCATTCGCTAACGCCTCTAATCAAGATACTATACCAGTCCTTACCTAATCGCACGTAAAATGTGTAGAACAATACGATTAAAATATACTAAACACGCATGCACCGCGATGGAAATTAAAATGGGTTGAAAGATGTGTCTACTCAGAAATTCACGTCGAGCGTCGTTGAACACGCAACCGTATAAATATATCCAACACCACCGATTGCGCGTCATACACTTGATCGCCGAATTTCCACCAGTCTGCGACCTATTCTCATCACCGCGGACCGTATGGCGCGCACTACGGTACTTTTTATTATTTTTTTGCTAAATATTCTACGGAGAGGCTGCCACTGCCCGTCGTCGCCGTGGTATTATTATAGTAGTCGTGTACGATTAAAGGTATTTAATTACGCCACTACCGCTGCTGATAACTATGTTTTTCGAGTAAAGTTTCGGTAATCATTACGCACACGCATACGGCGAGAGCGGTTTGAAGCGCAAAACGGTGTGTGTCTCGCGTGAATTTCATCTCGGAACCGCTGCTGAATATGTAATTACGTATGCTGCAGCCTCTGCGTGTTGTTCTCGAGCGAGACAAATTCAAGTGTATAATAATTATTATTATTTCAGTCGATAAAACATTTACTCACACGCACAAACACACATACAGACCCAGATACACACACACATACACACACACACACACACACACACACACACACACGTCCGTACTTGCGCACCGGTTCGGTTGGGTGGCAGTTTTTTCTCGCGGACGCTTAAAGACGGCGTATAAATATACCCATGCCCTATAAGTATAGCAGCAACGTCGTCAGCATAAAAAACGGTTCCCGCAAACTAGGTTTCTCTCTAGTCCTCGCGTTCTAACAATGTACCGTGAATAAATTTATATTTTATAACAAACGTTTCAGTTCAAGTGGCGTAACTTGACGTTTAAATGTACCACGTACGCACACGCACATATCTAGGTACATTCTCGTGATGGCAAAACATTTAGTGAGTATACCTTCGTAATAACCGTTGCTGTGCACCGTATAAAAGTTATCTACCTCTGTACAATTGCACATCAAATAATACGGATGGTAGACGTATTAGAACACTCTATTGGAACGCTGTTGTGTTCGCGGTACATAGATGTGTTCAGATGTAGAGGTAATATTATTTGGATTACGTATCTTAGAACACTGCATGTCTGCACTGGATGTTATCTCTGCGTGTGCCGATTGCCGAGACACCATCGTCGTGAGAGATACAACAATGATGGTACTTCGGTAAAATATTACAACTATCGTTCACTTTGTTACAACCGCAATGTTATATTTTAATTATTATTATTGTTAGATCAAAAAACATTGGAGTAACGAAATATTTATAATTCGTCAATAGAAACATGCGAATTTTAGAAGTAAACATTGTTTTGATTTTAATCGGATGTAGTAAAAAAAAAAAAATTTGCGGTCACTTTCATCTATAGGTCTTCAGACCCGTGGCGTTATTTCCCCGCTAGGCAGCCTTATTGTGTTACGCCACTGGTTCAATAACGTATTTCGTTTGCTAACACGTGCATGTATCACTGCAGGGGAACGATGAAGAGTGAAGACCCTCGGCTGTCGGAATACGTTTTGGGGCTCGCAAGCTGATATCATCAATGACCGTTGCTTTTATTCTCTCTCGTAAATCGATGCTCAATGACAACTGCAATAATTCGAAAACAAAAAACAATAATTGTATTGATATAATAACATTGTTAAAAATACCTATATTTTTTATAAATTTTAATATATCATTGTACTTTAATGGTAAAAAGACCAATTTAAAGAAACTTTTTCCGTAATAAAATGTACATACATAATACTTTAATTAGTTTTTCATTTTATTTGAATATATGGCAATTTTATAAATTATTTCGGACATTTCCACGCCTACAAAAGATTATTTATTTAGTATACTGTCATAATTATCTCTCGACATCAATTTTACATTACTTTATAAGTATTACATCTAATCAAGAATATATCTACTTTACATGTACATATACTTTACTTATAGATCATTATAAAATGTAAAATGTACCTAATTTACTTTTTGTTTAATTAATAAGAAAAATAATAATATTTTAGTACAATTGAATTCCGTATTGTTATGGAACTATAGGCATCCGACTCTCCATTTTTAATGAAAATACATAACGTTAAATATAAATCAAATCAAAAATATTTCGATTTGTCACAAAGTAGATAACTAGAGCGTCGATG